GTACGTTTTGGAAGTCAGCTTTAGTAAAAACACATGGCGTCGCCGCCTTACCTTGACTAGATCCTTCGCCGGCTTGGCTTGTACCGGCATTTTGATCTAAATCCTCCATACCCATTTCCTCATCGTCTAGCGTCAGATCTTCAACAGTTTCCTCATTACCCTCTTCCTCATATTCACTTTTCGGTTCGATTACTAATTCGGCAGTTTCTTTACCAGCAACACCAGCTGTCGACGACTTTTGTTTGTGATTCGATTTATCACCCTTAAGATGCTCGACATTTTGTTCGTCTCCAGTACCTGCTACACCCACAGCCTGTATATTTTCTGTATTAATGGCATCGTTTACTCCTTTAACGCTTTCAGTCTTTTTGGTAATGTTTGTGGTCATTTGCTGAGTACTGCCTTGTGTGACAGCAATTGACCCAGTTGCTGCTAAAACACCACTTGAACCGCTTGATAGGGTGGATGCCGAGACTGGAAGTGAAGAGGTGGCTGCCATAATGGCCCCAACCCCAGTTACACTTGCATTGGTTTGTGGTTGTTGTTGTTGTTGCTGTGGCTGAAGTGACGATTGATTGATTTGAGAAGAGTTGGAATTGTCATGAACTTCTGCTGCAATTAGAGAGTTAAACGTTTATATTAAACTTCGGGGTGTTGATTCACAATACGGATAATAATGTCGAACAAAGATACGACTAAACAATCATAGTCATAGTGGCCCCAATATTACTTACCAGACATTGCATTTTCAACACTCCTGCGTCTAACTTTCCTTCGGCGCCTAGATGGACTAGAAGAGCCCTCTCGTGAGCCTGATATATCTGTAGGCTCCATTGGTGAGGGTCCAACGCGAGGACGTTTGGATTGCGTCTGCTCGAGTGTATATCCGCTCAATTTACCGCCGCTACCACTTCCAGGTACATTTAAACTGCGATGTTGTTCTGTTTTCGGCGTGCTACCACTGCGGTTATCTGATAGACCTTTTATTTGCAATGATTCAGCGGCCTTTAACAGCGCAGCTAACTGATCCTGTGAAATATTCACTTCTCCACGGTACATGTAGTCCATCATGGCACGCAGTTCTTGGTATTTTACATCCTTCAAAATAAATATTGGATGCTTATCGTACTGCTGTTGCAGTAATGTCTGAAATTACAAAAACGCACATACATATGTATGTATTTTAATAACTACGATATATAAAAGTAATAACGACATAATTATGAAATTTACTTACGGCGAAAAACGGACTACATGCTGATAGTACCACTTTATGGGCTTTGAGGAATTTTCCCTCTGCAGCTAATGTGCAGTCCACGAGCGTTTGATTCTCTAAAAGGGTATCAAACACACTAATCAGAGTACTCTGGTGATTGTTCCATCGCAGACAGAACTGCTGATCGTCCTCCATGGTGCCAACTGACAGCGATGGTCCCACGAGGATTTAATTACGACGCCAATGTTAGAGCAGTGTCAATTGGTTTAGGGCAATTTAAAGTGTTCTTTATGTTTAGCGACAACAGATGTAGATAGGAAATAGTCCTTAAATATATTTTTGAGTTTGCACAATCTTAAAATAGCAATGGTATGTATCTGAAAGAGTGAAGAATAACAAGAGATACTTCAGTAAATTATACTATGAATAAAAGTAAAGATCAAAATCTGCACAATATTTATAGTAATAATATATTAGGTTCGTTCGCGTAGCTGTTAATTGTTCATGTTTAACCAAAACTTACAAGTTTTTGCGTTCGCGTACGCAAAAAACTTGCAAAGTAGGGGAAATTGAGAGAGCAAAGTGACATTTCATTTTGAGGGGAAGCTGCTGGTTTCTGTTGGAAAAATTTTTGCCAACAGCAATTTGCCAACAGGAAAACAGCTGATCAAAACAGCTGGTTGGCATTTACGCAAATCACAAAATTGAATTTGATGGTTTGGAAGTTAAAAATTACAAAATGCGACTAATTAAACTTGTAAGAAGTAAGTAGTTATTTGTTTAATCAATAAACTGTGCCAGGATACCACTTTGTAATGAGTTTTCAAACGTTTTAAATTTTACACTTTTGAATGTAAACAAAAATTATATCAGCTGTTCGTCTAACTTGCAAGTTTCTGCAAATTTTCTGTTCGCGTACTATTTTGGATATTTCTCTCTTGTGAGCGAACAGATGACATTTCGCCGGAATTTGGCAGTTGGTTGGTTTCTGTTGGAGATTTTAAACGAACGCACCTATTATATGTAAACTCTGCATAGTATGACAGTAAATTTCTAAAATACCAAAAAATAGGGCGGTATTGTCACTTGCGAAGCGAATGAATTTGGCGAAGCGAACGGTTTGGCGAAGCGAATGGATTGGCGGACGCAACTTAAATATGCATTAAGTGTTCGCTTTTAACAGCTTGTGAGAGTTCTTCGCATCGCGCACACTTTTAATACCTTCTGCCTTTTAATTCACTTCGCTAAACCGTTCGCTTCGCCAAAATCATTCGCTTCGCAAGTGACAATACCACCCATAATTAATGCCGGCACTCGATCCGGAACACAATTAGTAAAATATGTAGGGCTCAAATTTTCTGAAGTGTTATGCAATTTCTGACATTTAAATATTTCACTTTACTTAATTTATAAAGTTGAACAATTGAAACTCAAATTTGAGCAAATATTTATGTTTTACCCAAGGTACATTGAACAGGTAGTATCAGTAGAGCAGCTGATTTGATTTATTTTCAAATTATTTGGTCTCGAAAATGTCAAATATTTTTAATTTTTTCTCACAAAAATTCTGAATTGTTAAAATCCATTTGCATGTGAAACCTTTTTCCATACAAAACAAGCGATTGAATAGCAGCTTTTGGAACGTTCGCCCAACTCAGCAGCACAACCGCTAATTACTGGCCCTTGTAAAGGATGGATCAATGCTTCGAGAAGCAAACAAATTTACTAGGAAAGAAAGTTGCATCAATTTTTATTTTTTCCAATTTCAATTTTTTATTTTTTATAATTTTTTGTATTTCACATGGCACGCTTTGATTTAGAAGAAAAAATTCAGAACAGTTTTTGACACTTTCGATACCAGAAGCAACAACAAAATACACGCAAATGTTGTTTTTGCCCTACTGATACTACCAGTTTAATGTGCCTTGGTTTTACCGCAGTTATTTCGAAAAAGCGTTGAGCACAAACCAAAATGAATGTAAACAAAATAGCTGATTGAGGATTGCACAGCACAATGCGCAAAGTTGCGCTACAAAATTGCCGCGCAAAGGTTTCCTTTTTGTGCAAATGGCTTTCCATACAAATTTTGACATTTCATTTGCGAGGGTTTAAAATTGCACAGTTTTATTTGCCAAAAGTTCTTAAACGCCTTGATGCCAGTGAGTCATTAGCAATCGTATGCTGCAAATGCCGCAAGCCAGCCTTTCGAAATAAGCTACTATCCCAAACGAACACAGAAATGAAGAGGTGGTGTTAACAGAACAAAAACAAAAATTGCAACAACAAATTATACGCTCCTTGACAATCAGTACAAAGCCAAATTACAACAAACACATGATATTGACAAAAGGTACAAATTCGCCGTGAAATCAGCGGATCCGATAACACCACCTTGTATAGATCCGCCTTGAGACGAAGTGAAGGCTTCCAAAGTGAAGTCAAAAACTTCAATTGAAATGACAGCGGCAGCACTGCTTTCAACTATGTATCATTCTTGTTGTTTGACAAGTAGTTTCTCATTTCGCAGAACTCTTCAGAGTAGCATCGTTTATTTTGGTGGAAAATATAAATTTAGCCTGAAAAGCTCGAACCTTCTTTTTTGGCGACATTTTACAAATGAAAAAGTATGCTGTCAAAAGCCCAGTCAACAAAACTATCTCTAAAATGTGTCGTCAAGCAAGCGAGATTTTCCAGCACGTGAAGACGGCCGGTAAGATAATTCATGGTGCCGTAGGAAAACCGTAAACGTATATTTCAAACGCATTCCTTTTATTCCGGCTGTGAAATGGGATTATCAAAAGTTATGAAAACAAATTCTATAGGACTGAGAAATATTATTTTCCACTTTTAAGTCCATTTATAAAAACGTTGTATATTAAAAAGTTTTTTTTTTTATTACCTTTCTACTTTTTAGTCTTTTATGTATAAAATTTTGCAAAATTCAACGATATTAATAGATTGGTGCACGCAGATGCATATAAGTATGGTACATACATCCATACGAGCATCAATTAATTTCACATAAAGAAATGACGAGTCGTCCATTCCCGCTGTAGCGTATATAGAGCATATTTTTAGGCGCAATATATAACTACTTGCGGCGAGGCGACATCTACCTCTAGGGTTTTGAAGCGAGGTGGATATCTAGACTATACCTGTAGCGTTTTTTTTTAATATAACAATATTTTTAGTGAAATTTTTTTTTTATTTTTAACAAAATGGCCTGATAACCAACTTTGGATAATTTCGTTTATTTAAAAATCTCACGGTTGGGTTATCCTCCACTTCAAACTGCTCAGTTTGCCTCGATAAATGCCGTTTTTCGCCCATATTCAAACGGTTCCCTAGGGGCGGAGCTTTCGAATGGGGGCGGTTTAGGGGGCCATGCCACCTCCCCTCCTTCCCCCACCCTCAAAACGGTGGGCTAACAACTAAACATTTTCCGAAAATTTATCGTTATTTATCGAGGTATCGATTTTTATAAAAAAAAAACGCGCCGCCGCCGAAAATTTTTAATAAAAAATTTTGCGATTTTTTACTACAAATTGTCGATATATATATATATATATCGATATAAATATTACAACTTTACTCATAGCTCCTTTTTGTCTTAGCCGCACTTTAATAAAAAAACACTTAATTGTAGGGCATTTACTTTTAAAACGTATGGCAGCACACATTTGCTCTTACTGTCAGCCATTGATATTACCATTTGTTTGTGAAAAGTGCTTAAATTTGTAAACACATGTATAAACGCGTTTTACTTAAGTAATTTATTAATAAAAAGTACTATATACGCACGTGAACATTGCAAATATAGTATATCAGGCAAAAAAAATACGTGATAAGTGGAATTTTGTATAAAAATTTGGTGGTAGAAGTCGAGATAATTTAACAACAAATTGCTTAAATACTATTAGCAACTGCATTTTGGGAGTAATCAATTCAGATGAAGAAGGCCTCCCCCAACATCCTCACCAAATTTCATGACGAAATCCCTTATACTTTCGCTGGAATTTCGAATGGTTCCGTTTTAGAAATCCAACCCAAAAGCAGCTTTTAAATTTGGAGTCTACCTTATTTTGACTAGGTTGTAGTATATACCTTTCATTTATCTATTAAATACATTCTAGCGTGTCTCAGTCCTTTACCCCCAAAGCGGCTATAACTTTTTTTTTCTATTCGAAATAGTAAGAGTGGCACCTTTCTGAAATATTTATTAAATGAGAATTTTTTTTTTTTAAATGTAAAGTTATAGCTCAGTACATTTTTTTTTCACCAGAGATAGTCAAATTTGGGGAAGAAAATATCAAAAAGTTAAAAATCCCAATATAGTCTTAATTTTATAATGGTTCCTTAAGATATTTTAACTACATTGCATTTGAGTATGGAGAGGCAACTATCTGGAACTATTTTACATAAAAAATTTACTAAGTATTGCCCGGTTTGTAGTTGCAGTTAAAGAAAACACATGAAAAGGCACGATTTTTTTTTTAATTCGAAAAAATGTAAATATTTCAAAAACGGTGACGTTTTTACCTGAAAATTTTTTGTTTATCAGGGAGCTCACCCCCCACCTACCTTCCCCTAAAGTTTGGCACGTTACTTCTGGGACACCCTGTATACATATGTTTATATACATATCTTTATATACATACATATATACATATGTTTATATACATAGATATATACATATGTATATATATACATACATAAATATGCATGCATATAACTTTATATATAAGCCGTGAAGATTACTGTCGCGTTTCAGTTGTACATATCTACATACTTTCCCTACAACTAATAAAGAAAATATGCTAAATGTCAAAAATAGAAACCATGAAATCTAACATCGCCAAAAGGACAAACTTGTGCTTAGCAGTTCGTATGTATACCATAATTTCATGTTGTGGGAACAGAAGAAAAATTCGAACAAAATGGAAGCACCGTTAATATGAATGTGGGGATAAATTACTACTACCACCGTTAACAACTCAAATACGACCTACACAACAACAACTAGCATAGATTAAACAACCAACATGACTCGACTTCGCTGCTGTCACCACCGCGCAAAATTATCGTTCGGCTTCACGCCCGACGTTGCAGATCGTAGCGTACAGTTTTCGCTCGTTACTTTTCCTCCCCAGCAGTGTTGCCGTCCCAACATTTATTCTCATCGCTAGGCTGTTTTTCGATTGTTTGCCATTGACGCCCGTTTTGCGCTTTCGTAAAGAAAATTAACAAACTTGCTATGCAAAGTGTTTTCCAAGCCACACAACTGTAGTTAAGAAGAGTATGTATGTATATGTATTATTTATGTGCCCACGCAAGCACTTTAAAATTTACACATATTCAGTTTAGAACAGATCATCGC